TCTCCCTATAGTTTATTTGATTTTTATTTGGGTGGCACAGTGTGGAGAAAATTCCTCAATTCCAGCAGCCACCTAAGTATCTGTCATCTCTAAACTGAGTATGGTCCAATCATTTGGCTGCAGAGTTATTCTTATGATGCAGATCACAGCAAAACGCTGTCCTCGAGATCATGATGACACTGCACTCGGGGCAGTGGTTGCTGAGGAGGATGCAGCATATGGTAGTGCTCATGGTCACTGAACCTGTCTCCTCCGGAACTATACTTTTTTTGTGGAGGGAAGGACCCAGAGAGGGAGAAGTGCCAAGAGCCCATGCAAGTCAGGATGCAGCTCTGAGTGTGTGTGTTTAGGGTTGGGGGTGAGGATGAGCAGCATGGTCCACTCTAAACCTGTGGTCTTCTTTCCTATTCCAAACCTATTTGTTTTTCTCTATATTGATTCACTGATGATTGATTCATTCATTCTAAGAACTGTAAGTATGTGAAAAGCACTATAAGTGAATGAGTTAAACATACACACATGCACACACATACACGTTGACAGAAACAGATGAAAAACATAGACTAAGAGCACAGTGCCTGGATTTTGCTTCTTTCTTTCTTTTTTTTTTTTTTGAGACAGAGCCTCAAGCTATTCCCCTGGGTAGAGTGCTGTGGCATCGCAGCTCATAGCAACCTCCAACTCCTGGGCTTAAGTGAGTCTCCTGCCTCTGCCTCCCAAGTAGCTGGGACCACAGGCACCCACCACAACGCCTGGCTATGTTTTTTTTTGGTTGCAGCCATCATTGTTTGGCGGGCCTGGGTGGATTCAAACCTGCCACCTTAGGTGTATGTGGCTGGCGCCTTAGCCACTTGAGCCACAGGTTCCGAGCCTGGATTTTGCTTCTATTTTGGTCTCTGGGCAGGATCTACTTTATCTCTTACCCAATCACACTATATGTAATTAGGGCATATTATGGATACTTTACTTTAAAAATCATTTTTATAGGCTGGGTGCAGTGGCTCAGGCCTGTAATCTTAGCACTCTGGGAGGCCCAGGGAGGTGGATTGCTTGAGCTCAGGAGTTGGAGACCAACCTGAGCAAGAACGAGACCCCATCTCTACTAAAAATAGAAAAAAAGTAGGTAGACATGGTGGTGCATCCCTTTAGTCCCAGGGGGGACTTGGGAGTCTTGAGGTGAAAGAATCACTTGAGCCCATGAGTTTGAGGTTGCTGTGAGCTATGATGCCATAGCACTCTACTCAGTGAAACTGTCTCAAGAAAAAAATTGTTTTTATAGTCCTTATAATTTAGAATGTGCTTTTAAGAAGTAATGTCCAACCCCCCCCCAATAAATAATGGCCTAAATGATTAGAGCATCAGTATATTATTGTCTTGTTTTTATTCTGTTTCTCTGTCTCCTACATTATTTTTTAAGATACATAATGAAGGGATTTTGATTGCAGTTTTTGGCCAGGGCCAGGTTTGGACCTGCCACCTCTGGTATATGGGGTCAGTGTCCTACTCCTTGAGCCACAGGTGCTGCCCCATGAAGGGGTTTTGAAATAAGTCTTTGAAACTTTAAGTCATAATGCCTTATATACTGAAAACAAGCAAGGATGCAGAGGTCTTAAATGCAAGGATATGCGAGCATATGTTGTCCTAGAAGATGAAACTTGATAGGTGGTCAAAGTTCCTTTCAGGGAATATAGACTGTTTTTCTTATTTTTTAAAAGTCCTCTTGGTGGTGCCCGTGGCTCAGTGGGCAGGGCGCCAGCCACATACACCAAGGCTGGCAGATTCAAACCCAGCCTGGGCCAGCTAAAACAACATCAACTGCAACAACAAAAAAAATAGCCAGGTGTTATGGTGGGTGCCTGTAGTTCCAGCTACTTGGGATGCTGAGGCAAGAGGATCGCTTAAGCCCAAGAGTTTGAGGTTGCTGTGAGCTGTGATGCTACAGCACTCTACTGAGGCTGACAGCTTGAGACACTGTCTCAAAAAAATAAAATAAAATAAAAGTCCTGTGAAAACTCTCATTTCATTATTTGCATAGCAAATGGAGATGCTTTTGCATCCCCATAATCTTTCTTACTCTTCTGCTCACAGATGTTCCCAAACAAAGCAGCAAGAGAGGCCTAAATTTCAGGCTGGAGGCCCCAGTCTTAACAAAAAGTTAAAATATTTAAAATGAAATTCAGTTAGCAAATTTATGATCACTAAGTTATACTCTAAAATTTATCATGTCAGACCTCATACATTTTTTTGTACATGTTTGCATTTTGAACTGAACCTGTTTAGTCACAAGCACTTTTTGAAAAGTATTATTTTAAATGTTATTCCATATTTCGCATTTTTACATTTGTTCATTTACAAAGGAACAAAATTATCCTCTGTATATAATTTTTTTTTTACATTTCTAACTCTTACCTGTAACACAGAAATACTACAAAGATGAAGTGGTTTAATGTATGGGAAATATATTTTAAAAATAGAGAAGTAGTGTGTAAAGAATAGCCAAGACATTACTCAGGAATAAAAACAAAGCAGGAGGAATCACACTACCAGACCTCAGACTATACTACAAATCCATCCATAGTGATCAAAACAGCATGGTACTGGCACAAAAATAGAGAGGTAGATGTATGGAACAGAATAGAGAGCCAACAGGTGAATCAAACTACTTACCGGTACCTGATCTTTGACAAGCCGATTAAAAACATTGAGTGGGGAAAAGATTCCCTATTTAACAAATGGTGCTGGATGAACTGGCTGGCAACCTGTAGAAGACTGAAACTGGACCCAC